ATTATCGATGAGACGAGTTTGAAGTTTGTTGTCTGTTGGATTTTTCTTTTCTACGTTATTAAAAAAAAAGGTTATGGGAAAGCACAAGCAAACAAAAGGCTGAGAGAGAAAGGTACGTGTAATACTGTATTGTGAAATTTTATACCAATTGTTAGGTGACTGATAGATCTAAACGTGCCAAAGGCAAAGCTGCATGATTTTTCGTTTGTTTCGATCTGTGGACCGTAACGTGGCGGTAAGCAAGTCACAAACATGAACGAAGGATTGATTTTTTTCGCAATCATAATTGAATGTGATATGAAGTTTACGTCGTCCGTGGAGAAAATATCGTATAAATGAGCGCTATATGGTTGTAAAACGCTAAAAACGAGCCAACGCGTGTGCCAATAATGTTGAAGGGGAACTCAAAATGCTGGTAATTCATTTAGTGCATCAGGGCCCAGAACAAGGATATTAGAGCTGCTTCGCAAATGTTACTAACCACGGTTAGAATACACCTTCAACACAAGCTACCTTGATATTTAATGTTCAAAATATTAGGTAGCTGAGATTGTTGAAAATTTGGAAGACTAATGTAGATGTCTTCAAGACTGAATTAACTTATGCTACAACATTGTGTCCCTAGAGAGGTAGTGTTATCAGATTTTGATTTTGCATATGTTGTAGTTCATTTTTATTTCAGTTAATTTTTACTTTTCCCTCGTTTCTGGGTATGGTTATGTATGCTAATGAATTTAAAACAAAGGAAAACCACAAATTAATTAACTGAAATTAAAAATTAACTGCAACATATTCACTAACATGTAACTCACCTAAATGTCACCTTTTTCTCCTTAAGTCGCCTAAAGTCGCCTTAAATCGCCTTAAGTCGCGCAACATTTTGACCAAATTTCCCTAAAGTCGCCTTAAATCGCCTTAAGTCGCCTAAAATTACGGCGACTTAAGGTCCCAGAGTAGGCCTCACTGTTTTCAGTTTCAAAGATGAAAATAAACGCAAGAGTTCAAAAAAAAAATGACTTGTGCAGATACTGAAATGCAGTTTCAGTGGGCTATGCACAATATTATTCAATAGTCATGAGAACTATAACACTACATACAAAATATGCAGGTGCACTAGAAAATTATACAAAAAGTAACAATATAACAAAGTTGTTAACAGAACTCTAATAGGCAACAGAGTTCATTGAAGAACAAATGTAACTATTATTTTTGCTAAAATTGGAACATCAAAGTCAACATACTACATGCTTTATGATAGATCTCACTCTAAAACAAATACAACTATAATTCCATTTTCAATTTTGTTACAAATTTTGGCTTCACCAGCTAAAAAAATAGGAAAAATAGGAGGCTTTAGTGTAAAAATAGGAGAAAATAGGAATAGGCTCAAAAAATAGGAAAAATAGGAAAAAATAGGAACTGGACACCCTGATCGAAAACTCCATGCGCTGAAACGTTTAGACCTTAAATTGTGACTTATCTTCATAATTTTTAGAATTTTTCGACAAACTGCCTGACAGGTTCCTTTTT